TGCCAGCTTAGTGTTGCCTGCAAATTTGATGATTTGAAGAGGTTGAACTATTCAGAGTACCTCCAATCCAGGATAAGAGCAAGAAAAACATTGAATAAAGGCTCAAATTATAATATTCTTTCTATTTTCTGCAGCTCCATAGGTTCCTGAGGAACTTCCAACATCAAAATATTTCCAGTGATGGGATTTCTTTTAATGAAAATGGAGTTCCTGTTGGTGATTTTGATATCATGCACTGGACATCAGTTCGGAACAAATCAGATGCGGGGGTGAAAATTGGGAGTGTAGAAAGCCAATCCTCTTCAGAAGTCAAGATTTCTGTCAATCAAAGTGCCATCCAATGGCCAACTTTATTTAACAAAGTAGTTGAGGATGCTTGGATTGTGCTCTTCTATTTATCTCCATATGTGTAAATTTTATGCTCAAAAATAATTTTTATTGAGCCCAATTGAGATAACTTCCAACTAAGAGAACTTGAAGCCTCATTAATTTATTAAATATATTTTACTTTAGAGGTCTTACAATAATCTGTCACACACTGGAACCTGCTGCATTGTATTGCGGAATTTGCAATCTACATTATTAAACTGGAATATGTTGCCATAATTTATAGTACATGAAATTAATTTGTTTTCAGTAAGAGAAACTCCAGAATGTCTATGTCAGTCATCCAGGTCATGGTTGTGCCAAAGGTGTTTTTTCAGAAAGCACCTGGATTTTGTTTTCCCTTGAAGATGTTTCACTTCTCCTCCAAGAAGTTTCTTCTGTTCTGACTGAATGGTGGAGGATGGAAGGATTTGGAACTGCTGAAAAGACTGTGTTGTCAACAGGATATAGATTCAGTAATTGCAGGAAGGTTCCACACCCATTTGCATTATTCACGTGACCCTGAGGGCACAGATAAATTCCAAGGGGCCTTAACAACTTTCAAAAAGACTGTTAATGATCAGATGACTTCAAGGAATATAAACCCTTCCATATGCCACCATTCAGTCAGAACATCTTATTGCAAGTATGTAATTACTACCTCCTTTACAGTTAACATTATTTACTAATATATTTCCTATCTTTGTTCTTTCCAGTCATACCAACATTCCCAGCTTTAGTAATATTCTGATGATTCAAAATCAGTTGTCAGTGAAATGATGAGTTGTCTTTTGTAAAAGCTTCTTGGGGAGAAAATCCAGAATAGGAAGGGTTTATCCCATTGAATTGCATAAGAGGAAGATAGCATTAAGAATGTGGTGAGGGAAATGAGGGCAGCTAAAAAAAGGCATTTACATATGATGACACAATGATCAGTTGTAGGAGAGAAAGATAGGGACTCTAGAGAAAGCTAGATTTTGGAGGTTTCCTGAGAAAGCTAAGATGGAGAAAGAATATATTGAAGTTATGACATTCTCATACATGCTCTAAGGAGAAACACCTTTTGCAATGGAACTACTTTCCTTTGGAAAGAAGAATAAGGCAACGAATCTGTTTTGGAATGTATAATGGGGATTGATAGAGGAAAGAGAATGACTCTTCATTTGCCCCTTGCAAGTAGAGTAATTAAAGGTCATGCCACTACTTCTTGACATTATTTGCTCAATGTGCTCCTGACTTTTGGAAGCCAGTTGATTTCAGTAAACTTTTATAATTCATACTAATCTTGTGGTTTATGTTGAAAACCAGAGGCTCCTCTTGCACATACGTGCTAGTTGTTTCTGGATCTAGGAGACAGTGCTCATCTCCATTTCAAAGCTGAAGTGCCAGCACTATCAGAAGACGTCTCCGTGGCCATGTGGCTGGCATGAATAAATGCTGAAGGTGCAAAGAATGCTGGCACCTTCCTACCAAAGTGGTCCTTATTTTTCTACTTGCATTTTTGCGTTCTTTTGAACCGCTTGGTTGGCAGAAGCTGGGATATGTAATGGGAACTCACTCCATTATGTGGTGCTAGGGATTCAAACTGCCCAACGGCCAACCTTCTGATCGACAAGCTCAGCGTCTTAGCCACTGACCCACCACGTCCCTTTATATATTGCCTCTAATTTATATATTGCCCTGATAAGTCTTTTGGTTTATGTTTAGACGGTGCCTTATTCAAGATGTACAGAAAGTTGCTCCCCAGGTTATGCCAAGCTTGTGAGAGAGGGAGCCCCAGTTTGCTGCTACGACTGTTTTCTGTGTATGGAAGGAACATTCTCTGGGCAAGAAGGTACAGTCGGTGGCTTCAAAAACAACAAGAATACAAACAAAATTTTCTATTGCTTTTTGGGGGTATTTGATCAAGAAGCAAGAAAAAACATTACACATCTTCAAGGCATCCACAAACGTTTCAGTGATTGAGCACTATCGCTGAATTTTGTAGGATGATGCAAGTATTAAAATAATCTGTTGAAGTGTTACTTTCTTGCTTGGTTTTGGGAAAGAGGACAAGTTTTGAGAGCTGATAATCACATTCATCTTCAACCTTTAAAGAGGTTGTTGGTTATTTTAACTAATATTGTGTCATATGAATATCCCTGGGCAGAAATTTTATATTATTCCTTGAAAATGAAATAATTCATTTCTGATGCGGTTTTCATGCTCCTACAGCAGCAGAAAGAGATACGCACTAACCAATTATTTTTCCAGATGCAGCCCATTGTGAAAAGTGTCCAGATGACCAGTATTCCAATAAGAAGCGGCATCAATGTGTCCCCAAAAGCATAAGCTTCCTATCCTATGAAGAATCATTGGGACTCATCCTGACTTTCTTTGCCATTGCTTTGTCCCTAACCACTGCCTTTATTCTGGGAAGCTTCATTAAACACCAAGAAACTCCCATAGTCAAAGCCAACAACCGTGAACTCACCTACATCCTCCTGGTTTCTCTCCTGTTTTCTTTCTTGACCTCCCTTCTATTCATCGGTCGCCCCATGAAAATGACCTGTCTCTTTCGACAAACCATATTCAGTATTGTTTTCTCTGTTGCCGTATCTTCTTTGCTGGCCAAGACTGTAATGGTGGTGGTGGCATTCCTGGCTACAAAGCCAGGAAGCAGGATGAGGAAATGGCTGGGGAAGGGTCTGGCCCACTCGATTGTTTTATCCTGCTCTGGTATTCAAGTAGGCATCTGTATGACTTGGCTGGGAATCTTTCCCTCATTCCCAGATTCTGACTTTCATTCCCAGCCAGAACACATCCTGCTGCAGTGCAACGAAGGTTCAGTGACCATGTTCTACACTGCTCTTGGCTACATGGGTTTTCTGGCTGCCATCTGTTTCTTGGTGGCATTTCTGGCTCGAAATCTGCCAGGGACCTTCAATGAAGCCAAACTGATCACGTTCAGCATGCTGGTTTTCTGCAGTGTTTGGATCTCCTTTGTCCCCAGCTACCTGAGCACCAAAGGGAAATACATGGTGGCTGTGCAGATCTTCTCCATCTTGGCCTCCAGCCTAGGTTTATTGGGTTGTATTTTTGTTCCCAAGTGCTACATTATTACACTGAGACCTGACATAAACACCAAGGAACATCTGATGATGAAATCTCATTAAGCCTCCTTGTGTTGGTGTTTATTTTTGTTCAGTTTACATCCAGTATAAAATCACCTATTTTGAAGTAATGTTTTATGTATTCTCACTTATTTTTCTTCATTCTGTGTGCATTTTGAATTATAATAATTGAGTAGTAATGTTGCTAAAACAATTCAAACTATTTTGATTAATCATATCTTTCAATTCTCACAATCTGAATTCATGTTAATGCATAACTATCATCAATGACATTAATAACATTTCTGAAACCAGGCTGGATAAACTGTTACCAGAGATGTTCTGATATGGTTTTAGACTAAATTAAAGATTATGGCTAATAATGTGTGTTTCTGTTGCTATATAGGTTGGTGTTATGTTTCGTTTTCCGGGATGATGTTTTTTATCTATTTTGCGAAGCAATTATAAGATAATAGGTATAACTATAAACATCCTTAT